GACTATGAGCTCACCACATACGGACTAGGTCTACCACATCACTGTTACTTGTCTCCTCTGTCTACCTCCTCCTCTAGAACTTTCAAAGGCACCTTGATTGGTTTCACTGGGCTGTGACTTGGCGCCACATGACCAGGAGCTTTGTTCTGGTCCAGAACCGATCGGCTTGTCATGCAATCTGGTTTTTAAATGTTACTTTTATTTATTGACGACTCTACTTCACCGCCTGAAGGAGAAGAGGTCAAACTTCCGATGTGTTTCCTCCACCTGGATTTCTCTGGAACGTTCTCAGGGCGCAGTCACTCTTCCGTTGGGTTTTTGTACGAAAAAAAAAAAAACTAAAGGTAAATTGAAGACGTCACTTTGTTGTATTTTTCTATTTATAAAAATGGCAGCAGAAAAAAAATCATTCCAATTATCTTGAGAAGTTGAGTGTTGGTTGGTGACTGTCAAAGGTCTACAGGCGTCCTGACCCTGTAGACGTTTCAGATCGGACCGGTGACAAACTGCTGTTCTTGAAACCCTGACAGATCTGATGATATGAACCTTCTCCACACAAACATAACACCTCACTTCCAGCATGTCTGAGAGTTTGAAAAAAAAAAAGCAACCTGACACCTTTGGAAAGACAATAAAGCTGGCTTAAACTGACCATAAATTTAACCTATTAAACTATGGAGCGCCCTCTAGTGGCTAGTAATAGTTACAATAATCAGACAGGACATTATTTCCATTGAATGCAGATAGAGATCAGGCTTGTTTCGAGTATTGTGAAAGCCCCCTGCAACAGTATAGAAAGAATTACTTTAGTCTTGTTCTCCTATTCAAAAGTGCATAGAGAAAAGCAGTAATTTAAGTAACACAGCAGTTGTTGATCCATTGCTGCCTCCGTCTCTGTTTTTGTAGCTTCACTGTTAAAAATCCTTTGTCTAAGAGCGTCATAACACAAAGTGACCACCGGAGGCAGCAGTGGATCAACTGGGTTTCAACTAAAATTGTAAACTTTCTCTGCATCCAGTATGGCAGTAATTTCCACATTTAAGGTTCTCTCTCTCTCAGTCTAATGACAGTTCTAGTGCTTAGGGGACACTCACAGTCAAAGTAGCACACGTCCTTTGACAGGACCCACAGAGTAGTTCCAGAGTTGTCCGCTCACAGACATGCTGGACTTGTTTTACGTGTTAGTGTTTAATTTCTGTTGCCTGGTTTGTTCTCTCACCTGTGACAGTGGAAACCGAAAGTGAAACCACATTTTGGCCAAGTGTGATTGTGTGTTTTTTTTTTCTGGGTGGACTAAGTCAGTGTTTCCCAACCTTTTCTGAGCCACGGCACATATATATCATCAGGAAAACCCCCACGACAGACCATCAAACAAAAAGTATTTGTAATGAAACATAATGTTTTAGTTTAAATGAGCTCATAACGAACCGACTGAATACCATCCTGTTTAGTTGAAGGAAATGCTGACATACTGGCAGGAATTAAAGAAAGACGCACAAAGATCTTCTTCATCAGCTCTGATTATCTTTTCTTCAGTTTTCATCACCATCTGCTGCCACCTAGCAGAAGAGTATTTAGTTGTTCTGCCTCTCATGCTTTGACGAGCAAAGAAAAATTACATGCAATAAATAAATAAATAACAGTTTTCGGTCCAATTGAGTGAAATTGGATAATTTTCCGCGGCACACCTAATGACCTCTCGCGGCACACTGGTGTGCCACGGCTCAGTGGTTGGGAATCACTGGACTAAGTGGACCAGGGAAGTGAGCAACAGAGGAGGGAGGCGTCCTCTGTGTGTCTGTCCTCCTCCTGGTGTCTTCTGTCTCTGTTACCTGCTCATGTTCTGAATTGTAATAAAGCATTTTAAAGACGAAGGAGCCACAGCGACAGACACACACACACACACACACAGTAGTATGATGCAACCACCTGACATCTAAAAGACTGCAGAGTTTATGTGCGTATGTTTTTCCTACATTGCGGGAATCTTCTTTTGCTCTGGCCAAGTTCTGGTTCTAATGCGACAGAACCTCATACCAGGGGCATCTGAAAAACAATGCCATCGAATTAGATCACAACTGTGGATGGTTTACAGTTGGGTCAGGTGTTCCAAAGCGTTCATTCACTCATCTTCTACTGCGTAGTCCTCTCCAAGGCAACTGTTCTCCAGACCAACAGTGTCACATACAGAAACAAACAAGCAGTCACACTCACACTCACACCTACCATCAGTTCAGAGTGAACAGTTGGCCGTGATCTGCTCCCTGATTGTTGTACTGTAGAAGAACAGAACCAGGGTTTTTTTAGTGTAAGACAACAGCACTAACTGCTTCTTCTACTGCGTGGCCCAAATGGAGAACCAGGTCTGGTCTGTGGCTGCTCAGCTTCATGGCTGAACGAGGCTTTTGTCTGTCGATGCTCAACAAATACCAGTCAACACAAAGGCTGTGTGTCCCCTGGTTGTTGTTGTTGTTCCCCCCTCTGGATTGCAGTCTGGCCCAGAAACCCTTGTTGGGTCACAGGTAGGTCTGGGTCATGGTTTGGTTCATGGCTCTTCATTAACACTGCCTGGAATTCAAGGCTCAGAAAATGGAGCAAACATGTTCTTGTCTGATAAACTGGACGGGGACCAAAGTGTGGTCTGCAGATCAGGTTCAGGTCAGAAATCAGAGCCGAACTGTGGTCAGGATGAGGCTGCGATGTAGCCTTGAAGAGAACGAACAGACGTCAGTGCTTAAGATGAACGACTTAGGGTGTGTGTGTGTGTGTGCTCTTCATATGCCTGATGCTGCAATCATCAGAATAAAGAAAAGAAAGACAGAGGGGATGGTTGTCCCTGACGACAGTGCACCGTGTTGCCTGGCAACAGAGCTAACAATGGGCTGCCACTAGTGTTCTAGAATGTGGGCGGGGCCATCAGATTAAAAAACATTTTTTATATAAGAAACAGCATTCAGTTTAAATCTTGAAGCGCCGCATAGACAAGTAAACCCGGTTCTAGGCTTAGTCTGCCTCCTCAGCAACGCTGATCAGATTCAAAAACGACCTGTGTTAACATTAAGGACTAAAGACACACGAAGTCACATGACCAGAGGCTGAAAACAGTAAGAACCAAAATCAACAAATGAGGTGGAGCTGGTACTGACAGCAAGTGTATACAGAAAACTGCGTCACATCAACTTGTTTAAAAATAAAAGCCAATAGCCATCCTTATCATCCATTCAAAAAATTCCATTGTGACATTAATCTCTGAAATGTTTTCATCCTTTTATCTCAAAATCCTTCTTTTTCCTCTTGTCACAGTGAAACCACAACTGTCAATATTTTGTGTGTGTTAATTTTCAGGTATTTCTTTCCTATCTTCAGTTTTTCCGCCATCCAACTTTCTCTGAGTGGAGCTGGGACTCGGTGCTCGTTCACCAAACACACTGTGTGTGTTTAACAGGCGTTTAATCGGACCCTGATCGCCTTAATTACAGCCTCAGTTTCTCCCCCGAGACTCATTATCTCCCAGTTTTTCTCGAGTGTGGGTGACAGACGAGGAGACGGAGCGAGAAAATGAAGAACGAGGAGCTGGAGGGGAACAGGGAAAGGGAGGGAAAAAGAGGATAAAACCAAGGCAAGGCATTACTTTGGCTCCATCTAGTGGAGTGAAAATCTTCTACATTGAGCAGGACCCCAGGATCGCCTTGAATCAGTTTGAAATCTCCCTTCTGAGATGAAGTGGTTTCTGGATATCGGCCTGGAAGTTGCCTACTCTGCCATGATGAAGTCCACTGCTGATCCACTGCTGCCTCCTGTGGCCAGTTTGTTTCACCAAAGTAAGTCTGAATAAAGGGTTTGAACCAGTGAAGTCACAAAGTAAGACAACCCTGTCTAGTCAGCCACGATCAACACAAAAACAGTTACGATCCAACCATGAGCTTATTTCTGGTTCTTGTGTGGATCTGAAAAACAATGACCCGTTTTTGACCAAATATTTATTTGGTAGATTCACAGACTTGTTTACATGATGACGGGTTTATGAAAGAAACCCTTTAAACCCTGAAATTAAATGTTATGAAGACTACTCCCCCATAATGGAGTGGATGTTGTGTCCATTTAACCACAAATATTTATTTTCTTCACAATTGAATTTCAGTTGCACCTTCATTTAATGATTAGGAAAATGTTCAGGTTAAAATTTGAACAGTGCTTTTTATTAAAATGTGTTTTATTTGTCCTTATCGTCATAAAAACCTGGAATTGTCGGAAATATGTTTTTTTTAAAAAGCACTTACCTTAAAAAAATTAAAATAAAATAAAAAGTTCTCTGACCTTTACATTGATCTGGTTTAAGTGGCAGAGTTAGTCCAAATACTCGTTGGTGATGGTTCCTCAACTGGCGACCGAGAGTCTAAGTGGATGTCCCCAGAGACGGGTTCCGAGGTCGCTGTGGAAGATGCTAAACAATCATCTCTGCCAAAGGTTTTGGAGTCGATGGAAAGTTGGCAGTTCTTAAGAGTGAGCAGCGAGTCATAGCAGGACCCGAGGCGGTTCGGATGTTTAGAATCCACAATCTGTTCTGAAGAAGTACTCCGCTTTGTGTTGTTGATGTGGACCGTAGAGGAAGGTAAGGCTGTGTGGTTGAGGCGTCTGTCTGTCACAGCGGTGTCCAAACTGTCAGCTGGTCTGTCAGCTGCTAAAGAACTCGTAGAGTTCGAATCAACTGGTTGCTCACGACCATCTGGATTGGCGTCTGATGAAGTCTCGCTGGGACGGCGGCAATCAAAGGTCCAGTTGGGACTTCCTGTGGACTCGTGAAACCTTTTTGACACAGGATCGTTTTTGTTAGAGGAGAGCAGATCAAAAAAACTTTGCGACCTTTGTGAGGAGTGGGACCCTACAGTTGCGAAAGAGTTCAGAGTCAGGGCGTCAGAAGAAGAAACTGAAACAGGAGGCGACATGTTTTTAGAAGCAACTCTAGAGAAACTGCTGCTGCCTGCAGCTGGCGCTGTTGCCTCTCCAGCACTAGCTTCTGCACAGCTAACATTGGAGCTCTCAGAACCTCGGACAGTAGAGGCACTGTGATGGGCACCCTCCTCAGACCAGCCAGGATCTGTAGAAAGGGAATGATGCGAGGGAAGGAGAGCACTTCCACAGTGAGAAGAAGTGACCTTGGAACCAGACTGCAAGATTAAAGAATTAGTCAAGTTTGGATGTGGCGAGCAGTCAGCACCTGGAGAACTCTTTTCAGGCGTGGAAGATAAATGTGAATCAACAGAAGTTTTGCAAAAGTCGGTGGTTGATCCCTCAATGTCAGGAGCACCTGACTGGGATTCTGAGGACACCAGAAGAGGGGAGGGTTGAAAGCCTGTTGACACTGGGACACCTCTTAACTCCAGTGAACCAGCGAAATGCTTCTTAAGCGTTGTAATTGTTGGACTTACATGATCGGAGTCAATCTGGGAGGGGCCGAGATTTGGATCTTGATCAACGGAAAGTTTCGCAACAACATCAGAAGGACAGAGTGGAATGCGGTCAGACAAAGACAACTGTGGACTTCCATTCTTTCTGGAACGTTGGCTGTTGTGTGGTCCAACCAGGCTGGTTTTTGTGTTCTCCAGGTCCGGCTGAGGAGGCAGCAGATTTTCATCCTTAAGGTCATTGACCTCCAAATCCTGAGGCAAATCTTCCCTGGGCTGAGACGACTGGCCTTCATGCTTCTTACATGGAGGCTGAAAGGGCTCCTTCCTGGAATCAAAGCTACAGTGAGGTTGAACGATGTCCTTTAGATCATCCAGGACAGTCGCTAACAGACGTGTGTCAGAAGTCGAGGCAGGCTTTGGATTGTTAGTCCTGATTGGTTTACTTGGGCTTAAAGATGGCCCTTCTGCATCATCATTTTCCACATCAACTTCACGATCGCTGTTGTCTAGGCTTTCAACTGCAATAGCACCTTTTGCTTTGGACCGATCCTGTACCTCCACCTCCGAGACATCAGAACTGCGATCCAGAATGTCAACGGGAAGGTCTCCAATCTCCTCACCCAAGGTCCCGCCCATCCCCGAGGAATGCACCAAGGGGAGAGGAGGAAGGTCTGAGAAGTCGACGGTCTGCTGGCTGCTGAGCGGACTGCTGCTGCTGCTGAAGTTCTTCACGTTGACACGGTCACAGCTGCTGTCACTGTCCAAGGTGATGACGACAGGAGAGCTGAAGACAGGAGACAGGACTTAGAACTTCTGGACTTCATATTCACGAGAATATGAAAGTCTGGATTTTTTTAGTTAAACAAAGTGAAATATTTTTTTCTTCGTCCAAGAGATTCATTTCACAGAGGATAATAAGTGATGTCACATCCTGTAGGGTTACTTGTTTGATTAAGAAGTTAAATTTATGGGGCAGGTATTTGTGTCATGGCTCCACCTGCTGGTCAGTTTGTGACCATACAAAACTCACACTGGTGTTCAGAAATTTGTTGTTAAAATCTAAGATGTTTCATTGTTTTTCAATAGTTTACCTTGGACTCAGTGTTACCTGCTGCGCATTGCTGTGTGCTGTCGTCTCCTGCGATGCTTGTGTGCCGGAAGCAGCGTGACATCACAAGAAGGAGCAGTTCGCTCGAAGATGATCTCCACGCTGGGACTGCGCTCCTCTCTGCACTTCCTGCTATTGCTGAATCAAATGTTTGAAAAGACGGAGCAGAAAAAGCTCTTATTTAGAGAGAAATCAACTTTTATATTAACATATCAAATAGATATAGTTGGTCTTGATAGGCGCCCCTAGTGGCCATCTGTGGTTCACTGTTTAAACAGAATGTTACCCATACCTCTGTCCACAGTGTCTGTCACTCTCTCTTCTCCTCTTCTTTCTCTCCCTGTCCTCTCTCGCCCTTCTTCTCCTTCTTCTCTTCTCATCACTCTCCGCCTTCTTCTCTTTACACTCTTCTCCACCCGGCCTCCAGCTGGGGTCTTTGTCGTTGTTGTCCAGGTGTCGGCTCTTGTACTTCCTCTTGCCGCCAGGTTTCTCTCGGTGGCGAGCATCACAAGGGGAGTTCTGCAGTTGCGGTGTGGGAGGCGTCTGTGGTGAGGACCGCTGTGTGGAGAGAGAGGGGGAGGGGGAGGAGGAAGAGC